AGGGAGGACTGGCCCCTGGACAGCTCTGAGGCCCTGTTCTCTCGCTGTGGGGGCGAGACCCTGAGCTAATAAACACGTGCGTTTATTTTAAGTGAGTCACCAGCGTCGACTTCCTCAGAGGAAAGTCCCTGAGACTCGGCTGGATGAGTTCGGCCCCCCACCCCCATTGCTCTGTGCCACCCGGGGTCTAGTTGGTGTTTGGCCTGGGCCAGGAGGGACTGCTGCCCACGGTCACCCCCACGTGCTGGAAGAGGTGGGGGCTCCGAGGGAGATGGGGGCCTGGCGCACGGTGGGGGGCGTGAGGGAGCCGCTCCCGCGGTGGAGCAGCAGGAGCCCTGGGTGCTGGGGCTGCAGGTGGCGCGGCCGGTTTGCGAGAGTTCGGCCGTTTCTTGCAAGACCACACATACTCCATACAAGTCAGCAACCGTGCTGCTTGGTATTTTCCCACATGAGTTAAACACGTATCCACACAAAAACCTGCAGACGAATATTTGTAGCAGCTCTGTCCTGACTGCTAAAGCTTGGAGCAAGCCAGACGTCCTTCGGTAGGTCGGCACGTGGACGAACTGATCCATCCAGACGGTGGAAGGTTCCTTAGCGCTGAGAAGTGAGCTCTCAAGCATGGAGACAGAGGCGGCTTCAGGGCGCCAACTAAGAGCCAGGGCAATCCGGAAAGGCTGCATGCCGTGCAATCCCAGCTGTTGACATTTTGGAACAGGCGAAACCACAGGGGCGGTGACAAGACCAGTGGTTGACGGGTTGTGGGGGGGGGGCACGAAAAGGCAGGGCACAGGGGGTTTGGGGCAGTGAAACTGTCCCGTACGATGTCCTGTGATGGTGGACACATGTTATTATCCATTTGCCAAATGTATGAGGGAGGGGACCGCACTGTCAACAGTGGGCTTTATTAGTAATAACGTATCGGTGTTGGGCCCTCATTGGAACGAATGCTCCACGCCCACGAGCGGTGTTAATGAGAGGGGCGGAGGTGAGGGAGTATGTGGGAACTCTGTTTCACTCAGATTTTCTGTAAACCTAAAACTGCTCTAAAAAATAAAGTATTAATTTTTTTAAAGTAAAAAATGATTAAAATATAATAAAAATAGAGAGGGGCCGTCCTCCTCACTGTGGGGCGGGGTCCCGGTGTGGGAGCTGCGGTGGACTGTGGGGCCTCGGGGAGCTGGGTGTCCCCAGGCTGTGCTGACCTGGGCGGGCGTCAGGCGCTGGACCCCTCCGCTCTGGAAACCTTCCCGCTGTTTCTGCTTCGCTCCCGTCTCTGGGAGGCTACACGCCTGCCTCTGTCGGCTGAGGGAGGAAGGAGGGTCGGGGCGATTTGGTTCCGGAAGCAGGTGAGGACTGAGGGTGAGGCAGCACCTCCCTGGGGCTGGTGAAGGGCCTGTGCGTGAGCCCCGCTGGGATTGAGGAGGCAGCAGAGTGAGGCCCACTGGGCACTTCCACTTGCTGACCACTCTGAACCTCAGTCTCTTTATCCGGGAACAGGGTAACGCTGCCCACATCAGCATTGTGAGGTTTAGAATTCCTGTCTTCAATGTGCCTGGCACGTAGTCGGTCTTGAGACATGGTGGGAGTGGGGCGAGTTTAATTTGGGAGCTGGTCCCTTTCGGGCGCACCTGAGGCGTCCCTAGGGGCGTCAGAGAAGGCAGTGCTTAGGAAGTCCTGTTTAGGTTCAGATAACGGGACACACAAATAGATTCACTTTCATCCTCTCCTGCACCTGCACTAGAACGACAGTGAAGGGATTTTTTTAAAAAAGGTATTGAACCCTCAAGGATGGAGAGCAGGAGAGGAGACAGCCGCACTAACACTGGGAGTCCGGGGCAGCCGAGGCCACAGGTGGCGGGGAGCAGAGAAGCCATTGGTGTCTCCAGGAGCCCCAGCGGCTCGGGAATCTGCCACGTGGTGGCCTCTGGAAATGGGGCCGATGTCGGCACCAGAAGCAGGAGAACCGGTTGAAGAGTCTTCAGACTCCCCATCCCACCCTGCTGCCCTCTGCTCAGTGGCTGCCTCTCCAGCAGGGGCTGGGGGTAGACGCTGAGTCTCCTGAGAGGCTCAGAGTCTGGAAGAGGGCCTCCCAGGCAGGCTGGACTGGAAAAGGAGGATACATGAACGTTTCTCTCCCCTGGGCCGAGCCCCTTTCCCCACAGCTTCTCCCGCGCTCAGCTCCTGGGCCTCCGACCGCCAGGCCTGTGAGCTCTGAGGTGGTGGGGGGGGCACTGGAAGCTTCTCTGGGGACATGGACAGTCCCCGGAGAAATAAGAGAAGGCAACGCAGGCCTGCAACAGGAAGAGAATGCTGCGGACTCTGTGAATGTGAATATTCAGTGAACCAAAAAGAAGTGACAGATCTGGTTACAGATGTAAGAAACTCCGCTGAAGTATTAGGAGGTAAATTTAAGGCACTCGCCCAGAAACTGGAGCCAGAAGACAGATGGCAAACAGGAGAGAAAAATGAAACTGTCAGAGAACCTGTCCTGTACATCCCACTTCAAATGATACTGGTTGCAGGAAGAACAGGGAAAGGAGTAATAGGTGATCAAGATAGGTAAATTCAGGAAAGTTCCCCAGGATCAACAAGGGCTGCTGAGTTGAAAGGGTCCATGGAACCGAGGAGAAGGATGGGGAGAGGCCACACCAGCGCCTCCCACTGTGAAGCCCCCCGGGGTGAGGAGAAGGCCCTACGGGCTTCCAGGAAGGATGGGACTCGGAACGGCTTCAAACCTCTCAGCAGCGCTGGACGCTTAGGACACAAGAGGGAACCTTGGGAGACCCAGCCCAACTGTTGTTCTGGAGCGAAGGAGCCAGAGCCTGGAAAGCACACCTTCTCAGCTTGTACGTCAGTGTTCACAGCAACCCGACTCCCGGTAACCGCAGAGTGGAAGCGACCCCGGTGTCCATCAGCGGATGGAGGGATAAATAACGTGGTATGATCCTGTGATGGAGTATTACTTGGCCGTAAAAAGGAACAATGTACTGACACCATAAACATGGGTGGACCTTGCAAACGTGCTAAATGAAAGAAAGCAGACACAAAAGGCCACATGTTGTGTGATTCCCTTTATAGGAAACGTCCAGAATAAGCCAATCTGTGGAGACAGAAAGTGGATCAGTGGTTGCCAGCAGCTGGGGGGATGGGAACGGGCAATACTGCTGTTGGGTGGGGGTTTCTTTTTGGGGTGATGAAAATGTTCTGGAATTGGTGGTGATGGTTGTGAATGTACCAAAAGCCGCTGAATTGTACACTTTAAAATGGTGAATTTTATGTTACGTGAATTTTACTTCATTTAAAAAAAGTGAGGATAGAATAAAAATGTTTTCAGACATGCAAAGGTTCAAATATGTTACTGCTTCATGCGCTTTTTCTTAGAAAGGCCTGAGAGGACATGCTCTACTGAAATAAATGAGTAAACCAAGAGAAAAGGAAGATGGAGGATGCTGGAAGCAGGACCCAGCGGGGAGAGAGGCGAGGGGACCCCCAGGCGGTGGTGGCGGAGCCCAGCGCCAGGGCTGGCAGCAGAGGGCCCGTGGCTCCCAGAGAGTCTTCTCCAGAGAGAACCTGGAGCGTCCTGGCAGGAGGTCTAGACCATTGAAATAAGAGTTTGGAGTTGAATTAGCGATGATAAAAACCAGGCAAACCGACAATCCTAAGAGCCAGTTATTATCTGCAGCGAAAAGTTTGTGCCAGAAACAAACTAACTGCCATGCCCCCTGCTCGTCTGTGAGTGGTGTTACTCTGTCACAGTGTGGAAACCCGGAGTCTGCGCAAAGCGCGCACGTCGCTGTGTGGAAAGGGCGGGAAGCGGGAGGGGTGCGTCAGACGGTCGTGACCCGGGGAGCTCACTGCTCCGCTTCCTTGATGGGAGGTTGGCGGGTGTCTCCCAAAATTGAAAAATCAAGAATTAGCAATGTAAGCATGTCATTTAGAAATATGGGGGTAAGTACCAAAAAATTCAGCTTAAAATATTTCAAAGTTTGCTTCTGGGGAGAGGTGGAGAAACTTCTAGGCCTTTCTAAGGTTTTTGAAGTATTTGACTCTCTCATCTATGTGTGCATATAACTGATTTAAAAATTCTACACTATTTTTACAGTTACAGTCACACTTATTGGCCTGTCCTGTGAGTTTTTTTTATTGTGAGTTTACTGTATACACGTAACATAAACTTTACCTTATCTATTTCTGAGCGTACAATTCAGTAGTGTAAGTACATTCACATTGTTGTGCAACAGATCTACAGATCTTTTTTGTTTTTCTTTTGGTGAGGAAGATTGGCCCTGAGGTAACATCTGTTGCCAATCCTCCTCTTTTTCCTTGAGGAAGATAGTCACTGAGCTAACATCTGTGCTGATCTTCTTCTATTTTGTATGTGGGATGCCACCACAGCACGACGTCGAGTGGTGCATAGGTCCATGCCTGGGATCTGAACCCACAAACTCTGGGCCGACAAAGCAGAGCATGCAAACTTAACCACTATGCCACTGGCCTGGCCCCTGAAGATCTTTTTTTATCTTGCAAAACTGAAACTATTCCCATTAAACAACAGCTCCCCACTTCCCCCTCCCCCGCCAGCCCCTGGCAACCACCATTCCAGTCGTTTTTAAGGATAACATTTATTGAGACTCAAGTATGTGCCAGACACTGTACATAAAGTACTTACTCCCCACAAATACTCTTTTTACAGTTGAAGATGCTGAAGCTGAGAGAGGTTAGGTCACTTGCCCAAGCTCACACAGCTTGTAAGTGGCAGGGTTTGAATGGGGGTCTGTCTCTCTGTCTCCAAAGCTCTTGCATGGGACAGCCCTGGGATGTGCTGGTTACACCTGTGTCCCTCCCAGCTGTCCTTGGGCTTCTCCCCCTTCTCACCACTGGGTCCCCCACCCACCCCTGCACACTAGAAGGGAGGGATGGCGTGAGCCAGGGTGCCTGTGCCATCTCTGCCTGTTCCCACTTAACCTCTGGACCTGAGTCTCTCCGTGTGCCCACAGGTTGGCGGGACGAAGACTGGTGTGGTGCGGTACGTGGGGGAGACAGACTTTGCCAAGGGCGAGTGGTGTGGCGTGGAGCTGGACGAGCCCCTTGGGAAGAACGATGGGGCGGTGGCGGGCACCAGGTATGGTGGGCTTCCCCCGGGAGTGTGGGGGGCTCCTGCTCATCTGGGCTGGGCAGGGGACGGGGACAGGGCATTGAGGAAACCAGCGTGGTGCATCTGGGTGGCTGTGCCAGACGCCACGATATAGATGCTGCCTGCTCCCTCTGTCATGGCAGGCGGTGAAAATATCATCCCCATTTTACAGACGGGAGTACGGAGGCCAGAGAGGTCACCACTCAAGGTCACACAGAGAGTCACGGGTTCCCTTCCTTGTGCCACGCATGGCTAAGGGGGTGGGAGCACTAGAAAAGGAGAGGCCGTGGTCCCTGGCTTCCGGGGGTTCCCCTGGGTGATACAGGAAATGATCAGACAGTGTCCGGTTCTCTGCAGCCAAGGGCGGGGGCGCGACTGGGTTCCAGGTTTCACGCCGTCTCTGATTAAAGGGACTTGGCTGCCACGAATGCTGTTGACGGGTCTAAGGCTGTGTCTGGGCTTGTTGGGAACGGGGTGACGCGATGGGCGAGCAGTGTCGGGTGTGGGGCTGAGGCGAGGTGGCCCATGCGGCCCGGATGAGGCTGTGACAGCTCTGAGAAGGAGTGGTCACTTCGGTGCAGGCCTGACCGCCCAAGGGAGAGCCAGGCTTGAGCCATGCCTTGAGGGAAGGTGGGGTTTGCTTCTGGAAGCGGCTTGAGGAAGGTGTGCTAGGCAGGGGGACAGACCAAGCAAAGACCTGAATGTGGGAAGAGGCGGCACAGGGCGGCAGTTTCAGCGTGAGTCGAAAACTGGACAGGACTGGCTCCCCTGGTCCCGGGTGGGAGCCGGACCAGAGGTTTTGAGAGCAGAGAATCTGGTGTTGCCATGACAGCACTTTGCCTTCCTGTTTTCAAGATGGATGTTTCTTAACTCGCTCTTCCTTTCTGAATTCATGGGGCGGGTTGGGCAGCGGTCCCGGCCCCACCCCAAGGTGTCTCCTGCAGGCTTGCTTCTCCATGCCAGGAGCTCCATAGGCAGAGAGCCAGTGGGATTCCCTGGGTCTGAGGGTTGTCCGGGGGCAGCCATGAAGGTGGGGCTGCAGATATGGCTGGGGATCTCTGAATGGTGTGTGGGAGCCAAGCATTGTGGGCTTTGGAGCCCAGCAGACAGAGGTGTCCAGTCCCATCTTTTCCATTTAACTAGCTGTGTGACTGTGAGCAAGTTACTTAACCTCTCTAAGCCTAAATTCCCTCATCTGAAATGTAGATAACAGCAGGGTGGTTGGGGGATTGAAACAAGCCCTTGTGTAAAGGGACTGGCACAGACGGGGTGCTCAGTAATTGTTAATCCTCCCCCAAAATATGCCCCATGGCTGCTCACAGCTGCAGAGACTCTCAGGCCTTGCTCACCTCTGTTCCCTTTCTGGGGGTACCATCTGTTGGTCTTGGGGTGAGGGTGTGGGCCCCCACGGAGGAGCCTCTCTCGGCTGGGCCCTGAAGCAGTGGTGGAGGTGGCGAGGCTCCGGGCTGTGGGGCCGTGACAGCAGTGTGGGTCACTCCTGTCTCCCCAGATACTTCCAGTGCCCACCCAAGTTTGGTCTCTTCGCGCCCATCCATAAGGTGATCCGCATCGGCTTCCCATCCACCAGCCCAGCCAAGGCCAAGAAGACCAAGCGCATGGCCATGGGCGTCTCAGCGCTGACCCACAGCCCCAGCAGCTCCTCCATCAGCTCCGTCAGCTCCGTGGCCTCCTCCGTCGGGGGCCGGCCCAGCCGCAGCGGACTGGTGAGGGTGGGGCTGGAGAGGGTACCCTGGTGTGAGGTGGTGGGTCAGGACAGAGGGATCCAGGTGTCCCCGTCTGCCCCTGACTTGCTGTGGCTCCACGCATCCCTCAGTTTGGGAGTTTTTGAGCAAAGATAAAGCACATACTTTTAATAGGGAAAATTGATCCATTTACATTAATTGTTATTTTTATATTACTGATTTGTTAGTAGCCTAAGCCCTTCCCTGGGAATTAAGGAGGGTCATCCAGGTGCTGGGCAGGGGGTTCAGAGGGGGTGCCAGAGCTGCCTGGGTGAGGGAAGGAGAGGAGCCTGCCCTTCTGGGTGCCCTTCCATGCAGCTCAACCTGGAATGGGGGGCTCCTCCTGGAGAAGGTGGCCTAGGTGAGGGCGCCCACCATGAGGCAGGGCCCCAGGCACTGTGACCCTCCTGGTACGGGGGTCCCTGAATCTCAAGCATCACAGGCCCCCCGTGTGAGTAGGCCGAGTGTGGGGCACTGGCAGGGGTGGGGCGGGACTGGGAGTCAGGCACTCGGGCCCCTTGCTGGGTGGCTGCGGGTCATCTGGATGGCACTCCAGCTCCCTGAGGCCTGCCTGCACCTGCGCCTTCTGCAGCTCACGGAGACCTCCTCGCGCTACGCCCGCAAGATCTCAGGCACGACGGCCCTGCAAGAGGCGCTGAAGGAGAAGCAGCAGCACATCGAGCAGCTGCTGGCCGAGCGGGACCTGGAGCGGGCCGAGGTGGCCAAGGCCACGAGCCACATCTGCGAGGTGGAGAAGGAGATCGCCCTGCTCAAGGCACAGCACGAGCAGGTGGGTGGCAGGCGGGCAGTGGGGGCACCAGGAGGCCCTGGCGGCCTCCTGGGCCAGCCTTATGTCGCTCACACTCAGAGTGGAGACCTTGGGGTGTCAGAGGAATAGGAAGATGGGCATTACCAGGCCCCTCCCCGTCCTTGCCAGAGAGAGCCCTCTGCCTGGTGAATTTCCTCCTGACGGACGGGTGCCCGTGCCCTCAGGACCTGGCTCTGAGCTTGTGTCTCACTTGTTCTTCCCGTTGGGCAAGCATTGTCTCAGTCACGGGAAATTCTTCCCCGGCTCAATGGCTGTGTCGCTGTCTGTCACGGCTGTGTCCTTCCTGGTATGGCCAGTCCTGTGCTGGTGTCTCGGTTGCTTCCAGTTTCTCACTTTTTCTAAGTAACGCTCGTGTCCACGTTTTTGTAGACAGCTGTCCACATTGCAGAGGGTGCTCCCAGCAGATCCACGGGCTGGGGGTCAGGGAAGTGACCCTCACGCCTGCTCTTGAGGCGGCTGCGGTCCTGTGTCTGTTCTTCTCCTTGATGTTTGTCTCCCACGGGAGAGCACCCTCTGGAGCCATTGTCCCCATTTGAGGTCAGGCTCACGCCTCCCTTGGGTGCTGGAATTAATCCAAGCTCACGTGTGTGCTGTGACAGGGGCCTTCACAAGACAATGGGCCTTAAGCCCTTAGGGCTTGAGGGAGGTGACAGATATTGGGGTACTAGGTATTGGAGGCGGGTGGACCTGAGAATCGCGCTGGGTGAGCCGGCCGCTACCAGGTGCTCAGCTGGGCCTTCCCCTCATCTCGAGGCCCTCGGTCCTTGCCCAACTAGGTCTGGCAGGGGAATAGGGGTGGCTGGAGTTCTAGGCCCGGCCCCTGGTACCACCCATGCTTCTCCCCCCTGCCCCCCAGGCCTGGTCCCTGGGAAGAGGCTGACCCGTCCTGGCCCTTGCGCGGGGCCCAGTATGTTGCAGAAGCAGAGGAGAAGCTGCAGCGGGCCCGGCTGCTGGTGGAGAGCGTGCGGAAGGAGAAGGTGGACCTGTCCAACCAGCTGGAGGAGGAGAGGAGGTATGTGCTGGCCCGCCTGCCTGGAGGACGTGCTCCCCGAGCCTCCTTCAGGGGACTGGGAATGGCACAGTCTCAGGACCAGCAGGCCCGCTGCAAACCCTGCCCGTACCACGTGCTGGCCACGTCCCCCAGACTAGGGCTGTGTGCTCCACGGGCCTCAGTCTTCTCTTCTGTAATGGGGGTGATGGTCCCCACCTCGCAGGCTGCTGGGGGGATAAAGCCCCCACTAAGTGCTGAGCACGCGGGAGACCCCGTGTGCGCTCGCTGCCTGCCTTCCTGCCTGGGGGCTCTGCTCTGGCCACCGAGCTCCTAAAGCAGATTGTGAGGAGGATGCCTGCTGGGGCGGGAGCCCTCTCACGCAGGCACCCTGGGGAGACAGGCAGACTGTCTGCCACCCGGGGGCCACTCACGTGCCCAGAGCGCCCCTGTGCCAGGTCCATGCCTGGAGCTCATGGCTCCTGGCCTGAAGCTGCATTCCCATTTCACATGTCAGGAAACCGAGGCTCAAAGAAGCAGCAGCAGAGGCCACTGGAAGCACCCGTGTCTGGGTGTCAGCCCCGCGCTGTGTCGTCTCTGCATCATACTCGGCCCGGGAGGCAGGGACTGTCCTCATGTCACGGAGGAGAACACTGAGGGTCAGAATGGGAAGGGACTTGCCAGAGGCCACCAGCCTGTTAATGGTGCTGCTGGTTCTTTCTGCCCTGCCACAGTGGCGAGTGGGGACCCTGGTGTGACTTGGTCCTGGGTCACCTGGTGGGACCCAGAGCTGACCGGGGACAGGGTTTCCCTTGGCCCAGGAGCCTCTGTCTTCCAGCCGATACACAGATTCCTGCGCTCCCTCCCGCCCCTGCGCAGTAGGCAGCCCCGTCCTCGGCCCCCCACCCATGGGCCTGTCCTGGGCTTTTGGCCGAGGCACGTGCTCCAGAGGCTGTTGTTACGTCTGACTCGGGAGAGGAGGCTTATTTATATCTGCTGGAGATGCTCATCTGGTTCCCATGGCAACGTGCCTGATGCCGACAAACAAAAACAGATTTTTAAGACATCGTGGGAGTTGTGTTCAGGGAGGGCCGGGTGCAAGTCCCAGTGTTGCCCTGGACTTGCTGAGAGACCTTGGGTAGGTCACTTGCCATTTCTGGGCCTTAGTCTCCTCACCTCCCTGCGCAGGCATTGGGGGCCCTCCCTGTCAGGGAGCAGCCCAAGCAGTAGGCACTGGGACTCTGACCCCCGATTTTGAGGCCGGTGGATGAGAGCAGGGTCAGCGGGGAAAGAAGCTCACACCCTCCCCCACAGACTGTTCCATGTGGCAGGGTCTGTTCCCTGCAGCGACGAAAACAGCTGTTACCAGCATCGCTGTGCTTCCGTTTGCAGTCCATCCTGTCCCTTATCCCCACAACCCACCTAGGGAGGAAGGACGTTGCATTAAACTCCCCCCGTTTAGAGAAGGCAGTGGTCTCTGCGGAGTGCACAGGCCGGGAAGTTGGGAGGCCTGCAGGTTTCCAGCAGGGTCTGCCCCCATCAGCCATGGGCCTCTGGGCCTGGCCCCTGCTGGTCTGAGCGTGGCCTCCGGCCGCCTGTGGCCTCCCCTCTCTGCCGTCTGACTTGGTGAAGCCCGCGGCTCTGGGTGCAGCCGCTCAGCCCCGTCTCCCCCTGCAGGAAGGTGGAGGACCTGCAGTTCCGTGTGGAGGAGGAGTCCATCACCAAGGGCGACCTGGAGGTAACCTGCCCCTGCACCTGGGCTCAGCCCTTGATGTGGCAAATGGCCGTGAGGTCCAGGCAGCAACTCTGGGCCCCCTGGGAGGGCTGGGGGGATTGTGAGGGTGAAATGCGGAAGGGTCAGAGGTCATCCCCTGGGAGAATGCTGGGGGTGGGGCAGGTCATGATGACTTGGGTGACCAAGGTGGGAAAGGCTCAGCTCCAGGAGCCCCAGAGGGGCCGTGCTTCCTTTGTCAGCAGCTGCCTGGGATGGACCCAGCGAGAGATGGGGTGGACCCAGGGTATCCACAGGGCTGGGCCTGAGGACACAGTGGCTGGACTCCCTTGTCCCTTCTTTGTTGGGCAGTAGCCCTAAAGGGTCCCTTGGATTCTTGGATTCCCGGTAAAATTTTGGCTGGAAGTAGCTTGTTGAGTCACAGAACTTAAAGATAGGAAAACAAGTTCAGAAAGACAGAGAGACTCAACCAGTCATGGGACAAGGCAGCAGCCACGGGACCAGGACCCTGAACTCGCGACTCCTGAGCTCAGCCCACAAGGACGGCTGGTTATAGCCCCTCCTCAGAGATGACACCTGGACAGGCGGTCTGGGCTCACTCTCCTGTCCAACCCCCCTTTCTGAGCTGAGGGGTGGGGAATGTGCATATCGGTTAGTAAAGATCTAGTCCCCCCCAGCTTTGCCCACCACACCAGAGACCGCAGGGCTCACTAGGCCACCGTCGGGTGGGCAGGACGCCCCCTGCTCCCTGGGAGCCGTCAGGGGGGCAGGGGAGTGAGTTCGGACGCTCTCCGTGCTCGGGTCCTGGCCTTAGCAGGCCGTGGGCAGCCTCTTCCCTTCCCGGACTGTTGGCTCAGCTGTCGGATGAAGAGGCTGAGCTAGATCGGTGATCCCAAACCTGAGGATTCTTCCGCTGGAGGCCTCGTTCAGACGCGAGATGCTGGGCCCGGCCTCAGAGTGGCCGCTGGGTCGGTCTTAGTGGGACCGAGAATTTGCATTTCTAACAGTTCCCGGTGATGCCGGTCCAGACACCACACTTCCGGGCTCACCGCCCTAGATGATTTCTGAGCTCAAATGGGAAATTTCCGTTTCTGATTTTGTGGAAGAGCCACGCTAAGAGCCCTGTGACTCTAGCACCCAGCACAAGCCTGCGTGTGGTTGTCTTGTCCCTGGACGACCCCGGCTGTGGGAGGGATGTGTGCGTCTGCGCAGGGTCACTGCCAGCTGCCCTCCTTGAGCAGGTTTCGCTGCCTGAGCTGAAAGGATGGATGTCGGGCGGGGCGCAGCGCAGTGTGGGAGCCCCGGCCCAGTGTCAGGTGTTCTAACGTGTCTCCCTCTGGGCCGAGGGGGCAGGTCGTCTGGTACGTCTGGCTAGCCTTTCTGCTGGGTGGCTGCCCTCTTGCAGGGGTTGGGGTGGGCTTCTGGGAAAAGCGCCTGTGGTTGCAAGGAACAGAGACCCCTCCTGCTAACTCCAGTCAACAGGGGTTGACTGAAAGGCTGCGGGGGAATCTCACAGGCAGTTTGGGGAACCAGAGCGAGGAACAGCATCAGGAGCCAAGCCTGTTCTCTCCCCGGCTCAGGGGCCTCCCTCTTCTCCTGACCCCTGGTCAGGCTCCACCTCTGTCTCTCTGCCTGCCTCTCCCTCTAACTGTGTCTCCAGGTCTCTGGGCACATGTACTCCCTCTCACCCTTCGGCCACACCCAGGCTCCAGCACCCACCATCTACCAGCCTCCTCTCGAGAGAATTCGATTGGTCCCAGGCTAGCCAATGGGCTGGCTGGGTTTGGATCAGGTCTCTACCCCAGATCCAGTCAGCCCTGGCTTGGAGAGGCGGCGGGGTGGGACAGACAGTGACAGACAGCTGATTCAGTCAAAGGACAATAGAGTCCTGTTCTTGTTTTTATTGTGACCATGTTCATGACAACCAGAAGGAAAATTGACCCAAAGTCTTGTTAATCCCCACCCATCTTAAAAGTCAAAAACTTAACCCAGAACGCCTCCTTGAGCTCCTGGTCCCCCTCCAGCTGTATCACCCCAGCTTGCCCTCCTGCTGCCTCACCCCCCACCACACGAGGTACCCCGTTCCAGCCTCGCAGCCTCCTCCTGACCTCTGAATGCTGGCCTGTCTGAGGGCCTCTCCGTCGGCACTCCCCCTGAGAGCTTATAAGCCCACGATTGCCTGAGTCTCCCCTCAGCCTCCGAACTGGCATGGCTCCTGGGCATCTCCACCAGGGTGGGGAAGTGCCAGGCACCTGGACCAGTTTCCTGGGGCTGCAGGAACAAGTTATCACCACTCGGTGGCTTAAAACAACACAGATTCATTCTCTCCCAGTTCTGGAGGCAGAAGTCTGGAATCAAGATGTGGGCAGGGCCAGTTCCCCTGGGAGGCTCCAGGGAGAGTGTTCCATGCCTCTCTCCCAGCTCTGGTAAGATTCTGGCAGCCCTTGGCATTCCTGCCCGCGTGGGCGCGTGGCCTTCTTCCCTGTGTGTCCCTCTGTCCCCTCCACATGGCCTTCTTATATGCACACCCCTCATTGGATTTTGGGCCCGCCTTAATCCAGCACAACTTCCTGTTAATCAACGACATGTGCGACGATCCTATTCCAAGCAAGGTCTCATTCTGAGGTTCCAGGTGGATATCAAATTTGGGGGACACTGTTCAACCCAGTCGAGCTTCCCACGTGGAACATGTCCAAAACAGATCTCCCCGTTTGTTCCTGCCTCCGCCTCACGCCCCCCGCCCCCCATATCTTTTGCATCTCAGGAATTGGCCCCACAGCCCACAGAGTGGCTCAGGCCCCACAGCTAAAATGCATCGTGAATCTTCTGTTTCGCTCCTCCCTCCATCAGAAATGCTCATGACCTTGCCTCGCTGATTCTCTTCACCGCACGGCCACCTCTCTGGGCCAGGCCACGGCGTCTCGCCTTGGACAACTGCACAGCCTCTGCTTGGCCCGTCTGTTTCCTATCTGGTCCCCCCACACTGCCGCTAAAAAGATCCTGTTAATTTTTAACGTTGGAAACGTTTGAACCTACACACAAGTGGAGAGGATGGTGTGATGAACCCCCGTTTGCCCATCCTCCAGCTTCAAGCATTGTCAACTCTCGGCCGCTCCCGTTTCAGCGACACCCCACCCGCGGCCCCCTCAAGTGCTGTTTTGAAGTCAGCCACAGACATCATGTGACCGAGTCTCTGAAAAACATAAATCAGATGCTGTCCTCCCCTGCTCACACCTCTCGTGCCACCCCCTAGATAGAGCTGGCTTCGTGGAGGCGCCCCAGGGGCCCGCCGGCCGCACAGCACTGCCCCTGGTGCACGGGGCTCCTCTCTGCTCCCCCTCTGCCTGGGGCCCCACCTCTCCGGCCCCCACCGCCTCGGGCAGGCTTCTGGCTCCTTCACACCTCCCCTTCAGGGGTGCTTCTCTGAGGCCCCTGCTGCCTCCTTGGTTTTGCCTCCGTGCCACTTGCCTCTGCCCAGTGCTCTGTCCTTGCCCAAGTCACGGTCTGAAATGACCGTCACTACTCATTTATCGTTTATGTCCCAGAGTGTGAGCCCCTTGGCGGTGGGGACCCTGTCCATCTTGCCCACCCTTATGTCCCTGATGCCAGAGCCGGCCAGGAGCCTGGTGAGGTGCTCCTCCAGGGCGGGAGTCCTGGGTCACATTTGTGGTTCTGGAATGGGTGTTGCCACGTTGCCTCAGGACAAGGTGTGCGTTGCCTGCTGCCACCTGGGTGGGGACATCGGTAGCTGCCTTAGACTTGAGGGTTTGTTGTTGTTTAATGAGCCATGGGTTTTGTGTTATTATTTTGTGAACTAATTAGCACCTCAGTGTTAACTTCCTCTTTGCATAGGAATGCAATTACCTGCTGCAGTGGACCCAGCCAGTTTTATGAACTTGGCATCCACTGTTTGATGAGAACTGGCCTGCTTCAGGAGCCCCTAGTGCAGAGGGGAAACCCCTTCCCCAATTAATTAATTAAAACCAGCCCTCAGTTACCCGGGCGTGTCCCGTGGCGGTGGCTCTGTGCGTTGGAGCCAGGTAGACGCCAGGTGGGGGAGGAGGCTGCAGCTCAGGGGCTCAGACCAGGCTGGACCGAGCTGCAGGACTTGAGTGGGGGCGGGGAACAGGGAGCCCCCTTCAGGAGCCTCCTTCCCTGCTCCGTGTCACTGCAGGGAATCTGTGCCCCCACTCCGTGGAGTTGGGTTGCGGGGGAAAAGCCCCAGTTCTGGAGTCGAGGGGTCTGAGCTCCAGGCCTCGTGCTGCCCCACGTTGCCGCGTGCCTCTGAACCTGAGGCTGTGTCTCCCTGGAGTGGCATCTCTCTCTCCTGCGAGATGGGCAGACAGCTGAGACTACTCCCCTTACGTGGGGGATGGGGTCCCAAGTTAGTGCATGGGACAAAGTGACATCCACCCTCACGCGGCCCCGAGATCCTTGACTGGAGTTTTGTGAACATTAACATTGAGACTGACACGCAGGGCGCTGGTGGCCCCCACTCCTCACGCCTGGGGCAGGGTGCCTGGAGCAGCGTGGAAGGCCGGATTGTCCACCCCACCTAACATCCAGCCTTTAAGCCTGCCCCGCCCCGGCTCCTGTGGTTGACGGTATCATAATGAAGCAGGTGCTGGAAGCAACTCTCCCGGGCCCCCTGTGCCCCTGGAGACCCCAGCCCACGGACCAGGAGGCTAGAAGTTCTGAAGGTGATGGGGAGGGGTCCTTTTGGGGGCACCAAATGAAGTTGCCCTTGGAATTGTGAAGTTGGAGGCTTTTCCTTGCCCGTGGGGCCACCCATACGGTATCTGTGATGTTCCATCTAATGTGGGTCCCGGGCAGGGCTGCTGTGCCCACTGTCAGGGAGAGGAGGGTGGGGCCGTGGCCCCTGTGAGGCCAGGATTGAGGCACCATCATCAGCCTAGGATTTTCTGGAAGAGACTGAGTAAGGTGCTTGTTAGCCTGCGGCCTGCTGCCCTCTTGAGAGAGAAAAGCTTTTAGTTGTTCCTTTAGGAAAATTCACAGAAGTAAGATCACAGGCCAGAGGACATAAACATCTCCAGCTCTTGATGAATTGCAGGAGTGTTTCTGGGCAAGTGGTACCCGTGCTGGTGCTGGGTGTGCGTTCTTGTTTCTACACGTGTGCGCTGTGCTGCTCGGCCAGGCTGCTTCAGAACGGCCACACCAGTTGCTTTGACCTGCTCTCCTAGATGATGGCAGGACAAGCGGGAGGGTGAGGGGGACCCTCTGGCTTCTCCGCCCCATGAACCTGGTGTCCAGGCTGCTCCAGGTGCACTGGAGCCCGAGCCTTCAGCCCCTTGCTGCCCTCGCAGATCTGTTCTGGGTCCACATGCCAGTCTGGATGCCAGTCGGAGAATGTGGGGCTTTGTTAGCCTGTGAAGCGGGTGTTGCGAAGCCGGAACAAAAGTGCTCTTGTGCTTTCAGGAGACCAGGCATCCTCCTCGGGGCCCAGGATCTGGGCATGATGGGGCTGGGCTCAGGCAGGCTCTGGGAGGCACAGCCCGGCCTCCACTGAGGAGGCCAGGCCGGGAGAACAGGAGGGTGTGGGTATATTGCTGCAAACCTTCCATGAGGTTGGTTCATCCACCTTCAGCACGGGCCTGGGGGCCGGGAATCCTGGGGTCATTTACTCGTTCATCCACCCTGGGGGGCTCCCGTGTGCAGGATCCTGTGCCTAAAATGAGGAACAGCCTGTGGGCCACCTGATGGGGACCACCAGTAGGCTGGGGCCACGCCCCAGGAGCTGCAAGGGGAAGGGCCATCTGGGGGTGACAAGTGAACAGGTGTCTGTTGGCACCCCCTCAGAGCTGGCTTGTGCAGGGTGCTGCTGCCCTCCTCTGCCCTCAGCAGACCCAGCCAGGACACAGGGAGGGGCGGGCAGCTCTCCGCAGACCCCCTCTCTCCCCCAGGACCTGCTCTCCTTGATCTGCTCTCCTGTCTTGTGCACAGAAGATGACGCCGCCTTTCTCTCTTTCTCTCTCTTTCTCCGCTTCCTCTTCCTGTGCCCCTGTCCCCCGCCCCTGCCCCCGCCCCCTCCCGGGGTGGACCAGACCCAGACGCAGCTGGAGCACGCGCGCATTGGGGAGCTGGAGCAGAGCCTGCTACTGGAGAAGGCGCAGGCCGAGCGGCTGCTCCGGGAATTAGCCGACAACAGGGTAACGCGCCCGCCTCCGGCCCGCCAGCCCCCTGCCCGCGGACGCCCCCTCTCGGCTCCTCTGTTTTATTATTTTCTGTCTTCGGCTGCTGTCCTCATTGATTTTTTCCTTTGGCGCCCCTTCTAGGAGGGAAGTAGAGGTTTAGGAACATGCTTATGCTCCATAGCCACGTGATGCTCGTTGGGAGGCCGGGGGTCTTGGCCCTCTGGGACCTTGCTCCCTAGCTCATGATCCCATTGGCTGGGGACGTCCTGGGAGACCCTCCCGTCCTCCCTCCCCATGCATTGCCGTGACAAGGCCTTGTCATGCTCAGAAATCGGGGGCCTCTTGGGAATGTCTGCCCCTTATGTGGGCAGGCGTGGAGCCTGTCCACACCTCCCTCTCCCAGGCTGGGGAAGGCGGGAGGCCAGGGGACTGCAGGGCCAGGTCTCTGTAGCCTAGGGGGTCTTCAATATGGTGGTAGGAGGGGCCAGCCTGAGGGACCTGGGGCTGGGGGAGGGGTGAGTCGGGGTGTGAGGGTGTCCCCACGGCAGCGGACTGTCAGCTCCAGGGTCTGGTGTTGTGATAGGATGGGTCGGGGAGCGGTTCCTAGGCCAGGGAAAGCTCTCTTTGGGGGTGAGGTCTCCCCAAGTCCCAGGGTATGGCTCTGAGTCCAGGCTCCAGGCCCAGCTGGCCCCTCCACGCCCACCATGCATGCCCTGGGGCCGGCACACATCCAAACAGCTGGCCAGCCCAGCCCCACCCAGCAGACAGCCCCGCTGCGCTTCTCCTGGCAGCGGAGCTGAGCAGCCAGCGAGTGCTGACTGGGAGAACGGCGTGTGGGCGTGGGGCGCGCCTGTCAGTTTCTGCAGGTCGGCCTCAGCACATGAACCAGCATGTGCATGCCTGTGGGCGTCTGGAGACACACGGGTCCTTTTGCACACACCGGCTGTTGCCCAGTGACCATGTGTGCTCATTGCAGTCCACACGCGTGTGCACAGAGGCTGCTTACAAAAACCAAGCCAGTCGCAGTTGACAGGCTGGGGCTTTCCCACTGAGGCCTCTTGATCTGGGGTCCAACCTGATTAAAAAACAAAAACAGGTCTATTGAACTAAAGGTCACTTTCAGAAACAACATTTTTAAGCTTGTAAAAGATTACAACTTTTGAGTATGTTGTTTGCAAATCTGTGACCATTGACATGATCAGCGGAGGGAGGATGGAGCCTCTGATCTCAGGGTTTTCCATCAGAAGGGCGGTCTGGGAGCATTAATTCTTTTCCGCTTTAGGCATTAAGCCGGACCCCTCTTTGGCCATGCCCTCTGGACAGCCCCTCTGTGGGTTAGCTGGACACTTTCCTAGAGCAGGAGAGCGTGAAATTCCCTCCATCAGCTCTGCCCTTTAAAAATAACATGAGCTTGCAGAAATCCACAAGCTCAGATGGGTGGTTTCTTTTAGCCATCGATTGTCCCAGGCCACCCAGGGCAGTGTGGACAGTTGGCGCCCTGAGTCCCTGGGTCACTGGTTGGGGGCATCTCTGGGAGCCGTGGTAGGCAGCCAGCACCCTTCCCATGACCTTTCTCGCTTGAGGCTGGGCCCTTGAGTGGTGAGACCCCCTCACCCCTGCCGTGTCCCCTGCCCCCCAGCTGCCCACTGACCGCTGTCTCCCTCTCCCCCCGTAGCTGACCACAGTGGCCGAGAAGTCACGAGTGCTGCAGCTGGAGGAGGAACTGAGCCTGCGGCGGGGTGAGATCGAGGAGCTGCAGCACTGTCTCCTGCACTCTGGCCCGCCACCCCCTGACCACCCCGAGGCCGCCGAGACGCTTCGGCTGCGCGAGCGGCTGCTGTCGGCCAGCAAGGAGCACCAGAGGGAGAGCGGCATGCTGCGGGACAAGTACGAGAAGGCCCTGAGGGCCTACCAGGCCGAGGTGGAGAAGCTCCGGGCGGCCAACGAGAAGTATGCGCAGGAGGTAGTGGACCTCAAGGCCAAGGTCCAGCAGGCCACCAGCGAGAACATGGGGCTCATGGACAACTGGAAGTCCAAGCTGGACTCGCTGGCCTCGGACCACCAGAAGTCCCTGGAGGACCTCAAGGCCACCCTGAACTCCGGCCCAGGCGCCCAGCAGAAGGAGATCGGGGAGCTGAAGGCCGTGATGGAGGGCATCAAGATGGAGCACCAGCTGGAGCTAGGCAACCTGCGGGCCAAGCACGACATCGAGACCGCCATGCATGTGAAGGAGAAGGAGGGCCTGCGTCAGAAGCTGCAGGAGGCCCAGGAGGAGCTGGCCGGGCTGCGGCAGCACTGGCAGGCCCAGCTGGAGGTGCAGGCCAGCCAGCACCGGCTGGAGCTGCAGGAGGCCCAGGATCAGCGCCGCGACGCCGAGCTGCGGGTGCACGAGCTGGAGAAGCTAGACCTGGAGTACCGGGGCCAGGCACAGGCCATCGAGTTCCTCAAGGAGCAGATCTCCCTGGCCGAGAAGAAGATGCTGGACTACGAGGTGCTGCAGCGGTCGGAGGCCCAGAGCAAGCAGGAGGCCGAGAGGCTGCGCGAGAAGCTTCTGGTTGCCGAAAACAGACTCCAGGCTGTGGAGTCCCTGTGCTCGTCCCAGCACACCAACGTAGGCGGCCGCCCCTCCTACCGGGCTGTGGTGGGGCCCACAGGCAGCAGCTGCCTGGGTGTGAGGGCCCGGGTGGGGAGGGCCCAAGTCTTTATGGACCACTTTCTTCCAGCCCAGGGAGGCCTTCTCCTTGCCCCCAGAAGCATGCACCTGCAAGGTCAGAGGGCACCTGGCTCAGAGGAGGAGACCCTCATCCCTCCGTCAGAAGGGCAGCTGGCCCTGGTGACCACGGGGACCCAAGGCAGTCTGAGCTGACCTGCCTGGGTCCCCCCCAAACCAGGCCTGGAGAGATGTGTACCTCAGCACAGAGAACAGCCTTCCTTCTGGTCCCTAAGTCTCCGATTCGCCCAGACATGTCCTACGGTGCAGGCTCCTGGGCCTCTCAAGACGCCCGGCACCCTGCCTGTTCCCGGGACTCCCATCTCCAACTCTAGCACTGACCTAGGGGAACCAAAGGCGGCCACATTTCTAATGAGACTTTCTGGGTCCCCAGTCCTAATGGGACTGACCAGCAGTCCAGCGGCCACCTCCCCGGAGTGTGGGGGTCCCCAGAGTGGGGTTGGAAGGCTGGAGGGGCGTGGCCCTGGAGAGGCTGCTGCCACCAGTATCAGTGTTGCTCCAAATGTGGAAGTCCCAGCTGAGTGCGCTGAGCAGGCGAGACCCCGGGGGGCATGGGCCGTGTCCACTCCAGGGGGCCAGGAAGAGCTTTTTGAGTGGCTCTGGGCATGAGATTTTGTGCCAGGCCTATCCCACCTGAACTCCCGAGAGGTCCATATTGGCCCCATTTCACAGATGAGCAAACCAAGACTCCAAGACGAGTAGCTTTCCCCGAGTTTCTCACCTAGCAGTGGCAGAGGGCATGTGCAGGCCTGCTGCCCGAGGGCTGGCAGGGTGCCGAGGACGAGAGTCAAGTCCCGGATAAAGGGACAGCCGGCAGCATGCGCGTTGCCTTTTACAAGCCCCCGGGTTTCTCGAGCCCCCGGTTCCCCTCATACGTTTAAACTGGGATTCCGCGCTCCAGCAGTGGGTTTTCGGAGTGCCAGTACAGGCGCCTTTTTGTAAAAGGAGATCTGCCCTCATGGCGCCTTGAGGTCCCGCTGCCGCGGCCTTTTTGAGCGAGTGCTCCCCCCGCGATCCCGGGCAGGGGATGAGGCGGAGCCCCAGGTTAGCTGTGTGCACACGGCTGATTGGCTGCTCAGGGCAGTGGCTTCGTCGGGCCTGGGACCCCAGACCTGGACCCCTTAGCGGGGGAGGTTTGAGGCTGCCGTGGTTCCATAGAGCATGGGGGACAGAGGCCTGAGGACGGCCCTGTCCTCAGTCACAGACCTCAGGCTGAGGAGTGGGAGGTGACCCCAGGAAGACCCATCTCTTGATGTCTACACACATGGAGCCTCTCGATCTGGACCCACATGCCTCCCAGATTTAGAGGGTTAAGTCCAGGGACAACTAGATGTTTGGTCTCATGCATTAAGTATGGAGATTTAAAAGAAAATTTTTTTCTAGTGTCTGCCTCATTTTCCCTGCAATATGTATAAATAAAGACCAAGGGGGCTTAATTAATTACAACTGACAGACTAAAACGGGGCTTGGGATGTATGAGCAGAAGTATGAGGGGCAGATTTATGGAGGTGACTGCTTGCTCAGCTCTGTGTGGCCCTGATCTGCAGTGTTAGACTCCAGCAAATGGCAGGCTCAGAGGACAGCCAGCTGTCCGGAGGCTGGAAACTTCTGCCAAGAAGCAATGAGGAGCTCATCGATGTTTGTCATGCAGATTTTTTTCTTAATTGACCTTTTCTTCTTTGGCTTAAGAGTTTATAATTAGAAAGAAGCATTGCAGAGGAAGTAAGTGGCATTTGTTGACGGCCCTCCGGGAGCCGGCCCTGGGCGTGCTCTGCACGCCACCCCATGGCGGTCCTTACTTGTTCTATGGATGGGAAACCAAGGCTGGGAGTCTTGCCTCTGGATGATGATGGAAATGGATGCCAGGGACAAGCCTTCGGCGTCCCAGAGAAGGAGACATCTGTCTAATATTATAGATGTTTTCAACAGAGCAAGGGGTGGGGGCATGCACGAGGAAGCTGTGCAAGCAGCCTTTGGGGCTCCAGGGAGCAGAGGGGGGCCTCTGTTGTCAGGGAGGTCAGACCGGGGATGTCCGTGCCCCCTGCAGGTCACCTTGGGCGGAGCTGGGGTGCCCTGCCGGGCGGCTGCTGGGCTGGGCACAGGTGGGAGGCGAGCGGCCCCTGACAGGGCTCCTTCTTTCAGATGATTGAGTCGAACGACATCTCAGGGGAGAAGATGAGGATGAAGGAGACTGTGGAGGGTGAGTGGCCGCTGGCGGGCCGGGACGCGGGCCCTCGGGGAGGGCAGGCGGGGTCTGCCTTTGAGCCGGTCCCGCTGCGGCTGGTGGGAGTGCCTAGCTGTGCATGGGGAGGGCCGGCCACTGCACCAACTACCTTCTTGTTTGTTTGGCTTTAACTTTATTTTTAAAGTAAATGTTAACTTGTAATTGGTTCTAAGGACGTGCAGCAGAGGGTCCCCCACTCGCTGCTTTCCTCCCCAAAGGCACAAGTTAGCCGACTTGGGCTCCTTCCTAGAGACGGTTCCTGCGCATCCGAGCCGTAGGCGCCACCAGAGAGGGGCCCACACCTGCCCGCTGTTCCGTCTCTTACTCTTCCCTTAATCGTGCGTCTTGGAGACTGTGCCTCATCGCTGCGTTCCTTTACATGGTGCAGAATATTCCACTGTGTGGGGCGACCATCACGTGTTTCACCAGCTCCCTGCTGATGGGTAGCAGGTTGTCCCCAGTCTTGTCTGTTATACACCCTGCCGCAGAAAATCACTTGCCCTCCATTGGGCTCAACCAGTTTTCACTCCCACCAGGCGGTTGAAAGTGTGTTTAGCCATAAACCTCACCAACAATATGCTTTACCAAACTTGTGATCTTTGCCAGTCTGAACAGTAAAAGCTGTGACCTGGTGTAACTTCATTTGCCTTTCTCTTACTGTGAATGAAGCCCCATTCCCATTTCTATTCACATCCATTGTCCATTTTTTCAATTTGGAAAAATTAGAATTTGTTGATTTCTAGAAACTCTCTATATATGACATTGCAAACATTTTTCCCCTTTTGTGGTTTGTCTTTTGACTTTTCTTATGGTGATGTTTGCCATTCAGATTTCAAAAAATCAGTCTTTTCTTTTTTGGTGTCTGGGTTTGTTATTTTTAAAACGCATCCCATGGTGTCTTCTGGTACTTTTTAAGTTTCATTTTCTGTGTTTAAATCTTGGATCCGTCTAGAATTCATCCTTCTATCTGGTGTGAGGTAAGGAACCCATGTTTATTTCCTTCCCAAAGAGTACCCACTTGTCCCAACATCATTTTTGAGAAACTCATGTTCCCTCCACTGATGTGAATTTCCAACCTCACCATCTTTAAATTCTCTTATCTAATTGCCTCTATTTCTGGACTTTCTATTCCATTCCTGTAACCTCTCTGTCTGTTCAAGGGCTGGTCCCATGATCTTCTAATTGTTCAGGCTTTGTTTGTATTTTAATTACTGGAGGGCTAGCTTTCCTGCTCTGCTTTTTCAGCATTCTCTTGGCCATTTTCTTTTAATTAAGGCAAAATTAACATAAATTAACCGTTTTAAAGTGAAAATTTTGTTTGTAAAGTGAAGCATTGACTACATTCACAGTGTTGTGCACCCACCACCTCTGTCTAGTTACAAACATTTTCATTCCCACAAAAGGAAACCCCAATACTTGTTACCAGGCACTGTCCATTCTCCCCTCCCCCTGGCCGCTGACCTCCCCCCCCCCCCAATCTGCCCTCTGTTTCTACGATTTGCCTCTTCTGGGGATTTCATACAAATGGCATCATACAGGATGTGGCCTTTTGTGTCTGGCTTCTTGCACTTAGCGTAACGTAGTCAAGCTTCATCCGTGTTGTGGCGTGTGTCTGTGCATCGTTCCTGTTTACGGCTGAGTGACATTCCATCGTGTGCACATGCCACGTTGTGTTTGTCCGTCCACCTGAGTGTGGGCATCTGGGCTGTTTCCAGCTGCTGGCTGTTGTGAGTGGTGCCGCTGTAGACGGGGTCTGCGGGACCTTGTCGAGACCTGTTTTCAGTTCTCTTGGGTGTGTGCCTGGGAGTGGAATTGCTGGGTCCTCTGGTAGGGCTATGTTTAACTGGTTGAAGAAGTTTTTCCAAACCCTTTTGGCTCTTCTTGCTAATCTTTCCAAGTGATTTTAGAATCAGCTTATCTAGTTCCACAAAAATGAAAGTCTTGCTGGTATTTTTCTTGGTATTATGTTAAATTTATAAATTAACTTACGGAAGGTTAATGTGTTTGTAGCACTTTCCGTGCATTATCTTTCTTATGACTGTCCTTAGACCATCCGATACTGAATTCGCGTGACCAGGGGACATGGGCCCCATCATTATCCCCATTTTTCACTCAAGGAAACTGAGACTCTGGGGTTAACTCGCCCAAGACCACACAGTGCTGGGGCCTCTTGCTCATGGTGGGTTACCAGACAGAGGGCTGGCGTGAGGAAGAAATTGGACCCTGGGGGCCAAGTGGGGCCCCGCTTTAGGGCTTCTGTGGGAGGGCCGCCCCTCGCCCCCTGGACCACACGTTGGCCCGGGAATGTTGACAGCCTGTCGTCTCTCCCGTCTCTCCCAGGCCTGCAGGACAAGCTGAACAAGAGGGACAAAGAGGTGACAGCCTTGACGTCCCAGACCGAGATGCTCAGGGCCCAAGTAAGTGGTAAGTCTCCCTCCCGCAGGGCCGTGCAGGCTTCCGAGCACTGAGCGGATTGGTGCCTGGGTCAGTGGCCCCCCGACTCTGCCTTACATGGGAGGCAACCTGGGCCAGGCCACCTGCACCAGACTCCCACCTGGCAGCAGTGGGTGGGAGACCTGTGGCCCATACACCGTCTGTAATGTGATCAGGGGCCCCGTCCGGCTTCCCTCCCCGGTGCCAGCTCTCTGTCCTGTGCGCTGGAGTTCTGTTACAGTTCTGTCTGGTCTTGAAAACGTGGGTTCCTTGTAGGTCACTTTGATACAGCGTCTCTGCCCCCAGTCCCTAGAAGAAGCACCAGCGGTTCAGAACTGGGGGGACGGTGCCGGCTGCAGGGGAGAGGAGGGCACAGGGGAGTGAGGACAGGGGCATCTGGGGCCTCTGGTGTGTCTTGGTGACGAACTGGCCCTGCCTCTTGTCCGCCAGAGTGCCAGTGGTGGTGGCCCTGAGACGGCCCCGTCCTGGAAGCGTTCCCACCCACACTTCTCTCTAGTCCCGGTGACATTCACATGGCACACTTGGTCCCCACAAAGGTCGGTTGACCTCAGACTCCTCCAAGGCTCAGGTGACGATGTGGCTCGCCCTGGTCCAGGCCCCAGTGTCACCGCCTGGTCCTGTCTCGGGAAGGTGGACACCCCACAGCCCGGGCTGCTGTGTTCCAAGGGCTCCGTCGGCTTTTTGTAGCTGTTGTCTTGGCCCCCTGCTGCCTGGCTCCGCAGGACGAGAGACACCCACTCTGTGGACTGTGTCACTGTGATCCCCAGGTGGGCCAGACTCCCTCGGGGCCCTGACTCTCTCCCTCCTTTCCCTGCCACTGACCCTCAGCATTGGAGAGCAGGTGCAAGTCGGGAGAGAAGAAGGCAGACACCCTCCAGAAGGAGAAGCGGCGCCTGGAGGCCGAGCTGGAGGCCGTGTCCCGGAAGACCCACGATGCCTCGGGCCAGCTGGTCCTCATCAGCCAGGAGCTGCTCAGGAAGGAGCGGTGAGTCCACCATCGGCCGTGTGCACAGACCTGTCTGGCTCTGTCACCCAGCCGTGTCCTCCCTCCAGCCTGACTCTCACTCCACCTGACGTTGGCCATCTTCTCCAGAGGCCATGCTGGGATAGACGGGTGGGGCAGGTGGCTGGCGTCACCAAGGACCACTGTGCTCTCTTCTACCAAGCTCAGGGCAGCCTCAGAATCCTTCTCAACACAGTTCTCCAAGCAGAGCTTATAGGGAAGATTAGTGGTCCCAGACTTCTTGGTCTCAGGGACCCCTTTAAACTCTTAAAAATTATTGAGGATTCCCAAAGAGCTTTGGTTTATTCATTCTATATAAAATGGAAAAAAAATTTTAATATGCATTAATCCACTTAAAGATAATAATAAACCAATTGCATGTAACATAAATAACATGCTTTTGGTAAAAAGTAACTATTTTCCAAAACAAAAAGTATTTAGTGAAAAGAGTAGCATTGTTTTGCATTTTTGCCAATTTCTTGAACGTTGGGCTTAACAGAAGACAGCTGCATTCTCGCATCTTCTGCAGTCAGTCTTTGCTGTTTGCTGTTTTGGTTGAAGAATATTATGAAAATCTGGCCTTACGTAGATATGTGGTTGGAAAAGAGGAACATTTTAATACCCTTTTGAGGTAATTTTTAATATGCCGCGTGGCCCCAGGAGAAAATCCATTGTACACTCATGAGAAATGACAGTGTAAAATAGTTGTGTTATCATGAAAATAGTTGTGACCCATGGGCCCCCCTGAAAAGGTCTTGGGACCCTTGAGGGTTCCCCAGACCACAGTCTGAGAACCACTGGGTTACGGTCCATAGACATGGTTTGTGTGACCCACATGAGGTTTAAAAAGAAAACCTAGACCAGCATTTAAAAATCAGAAGATTTCACATAAAATCTAAATTTCTCCAGTCCAGATTCCCTTAAATTAGAAGGTCTGACAGCATTAGGCTCACCTCCAGCAGGGCCTCAAGCAGCATTGCTGGGGAGCACCTGCCCCCTCTCAGTGGGCGTGGCCCTCTGGGTCTCCTCAGTTGCCGCCCGCTTCTATTATTTTCCTGACAACCCCTGCCTGGACATGACTCGCCAGCTCCTGTAAGCATTTGAGGTTCAACCCCTGAGTTAAAGTCCGCCTCTTCCTTGAAGCCTTCCTTGATTGATGTAGGCCACCACGAGCTCCTCCATTCTCCTGTGGTACTTAGCATGGGAGTGGGAGATCAGCCAGGAATCCGTTGGCAGATTGAATGAGTAGAGGTTCATTGTCCTCATGTCACAAGAAATCTGGAGGTAGCTGTGGCTGGCCCTTGGTTCAGTGGCTCAAGATATCAGTGCCACACCTTTGTAGTTTTCTTGGACACTCCCTCTTGGTTGCAAGGTGGCTGCTAAAGCTCCAGCTATCACATTCATAGCAGGAAAGAGGAGGAAAGGGAAAGGGACAGTGCCAGTTGACTTCCACTTTGTTCTCAACTACCCATGGCCACCTGGTGAGGGAGTTTCCCCCTCCTCTATAGCAGAGGCAGGCAAGGGAAAAGGCTTAGAAGGGATGTGTCCTTCAATCCGCGCCCATGGCAGACATTGCGAATTGATCACCACGCTCTTTTCTGCAGAGCCCACATGTGGCCTCAGAATCATTCTCATCACAGTTCTTAGGCAGCTACTGCCAGCTGATTAAGAGCTGACATGGGAAGGAAAACCCATTTGACATCAGGCATTTAAAAATGAGTTCATTGCCACGTGAGCTCTATTGGATGACTGTTTTGTTTTAATTAAACAAAAGTAATATTGTCATTCTTAAAAACTTTAGGGGCCGGCCCTGTGGCTGACTGGTTAAGTTCACGTGCTCTGCTGTGGTGGCCCAGGGTTTCACTGGTTCGAATCCTGGGCACGGACGTGGCACCGCTCATCAGGCCACACTGAGGCTACATCCCTCATGCCACAAGTAGAAGGACCCACAACTAAAAATGCACAGCTATGTACTGGGGAGCTTTGGGAGCAAAAGGAAAAATAAAACCTTTTAAAAAAAAAAAAAAACTTTAAAAACATTCTGGGAAAGGCCAAGTCCTCTTGATCGTCCCATTCTCAAATCCTGGCCCCTCTTGGGCTGTGGTCAAATGGTTTCATGTTTCCACTCTGGCCCCTCCTGGTACAGATGCTGTCATTTTTTTTTTTTTTTTTTTTTGGTGAGGAAGATTGGCCCTGAGCTAACATCTGTGCTGATCTTCCTCTGGTTTTTGTATGTCGGTCGCCACCACAGTGTGGTGTAGGTTGATGCCCAGGATCTGAACCTGAAAACCTGGGCCACCAAAGTGGAGCATTCTAGACTTAACCATTGTGCTACCGGGCTGGCCCCACAGATGCTGTCTTAGTAGACAGTGTCCCCCTCAGGGTGGCCAGTCTCTAGGCACTTGTGAGTCGCTGGAGTGTGGGAGCAGAGGGGCTGACTGGCTGGGCTGACTGTTGCTGTCCTGTGCCTCTGCCCCACCCCTCGCCAGGAGCCTGAACGAGCTGCGAGTGTTGCTGCTGGAGGCCAGTCGCCGCTCCCCGGGGCCGGAGAGGGACCTGAGCCGCGAGGTCCACAAGGCTGAGTGGCGGATCAAGGAGCAGAAACTCAAGGACGACATCCGGGGCCTGCGTGAAAAGCTGACCGGGCTGGTACGTTGGGGAGGGGGAGGCCGTGGTGGGGCTAGGGCTGCCCTGCTGTCAGGCCATGGAGACTGGTGACCTCCTGGAGCCACCCAGGGACAGCCAAGTCACAGTGAGGGTTCGAAATCCCCTAGAAGCACAGTCAGGGTAGCTGGGGGAAGGGCCACGGGTGACCCCCTTGCTGACATCATGGCTGGCAGGGTGGCCGTCTGGGTGATGCAGTGCAGAGGAAGACTTCCCAAGGGTGGCCTGCCCAGAGGTAGGACGGGCTACTGCGGGGTAGTGAGCTCCCCGTCCAGGGGAATAATCAGCCGGAAGCGAGCTCTCCCTCAGGGTCCTGCAGTGGGGATTCCCGCATCAGTCTCAGGAAGGCGACAGGAACTGGAAAGGCTCCTCTAACCCTGAACTTCTGGGGCTGCGACTCCTCCGTCAGGAGCAGGAGCCTGACAGAGCAGAGCTCCGGAGGCAGGAGCTGGGCTGGGCAGGGGCTGCTGGGAGCCTGGGCCAGAACCATCCCCACCCCATCCCCCGTGGTCAGCATTCAGGACAAGCCTGGGGCCGGGTACCAGCCTGGTCACCTCCGGGGTATGGACAGGGTGGGGTCTGGGAGGACAGGCCTGCTGTCATGGGAAGCCAGCGGCTCACCCCTCTATCCACCACACGGGCTCGGCTACCCTGGAGGGGGTGGGGACGGGGCCTCCCGGACAGGAGGCAGGGACAAGACCCGCCTGCAGCTGTGGGGCAGGCCTGGCCAGCAGGCCCTCTGGGGTCCTCGCGCTCTGTGAGTCTGGATGTAACTCTGCAGACAAGGCCCTGGGGCTGGCGGGGACCGGGGGTCTTGACTCCCCGAGGCTTTCCCAGAGCCTTGTCTCCGGCTCCGTGGGGCACAGGCTGGTCGGGTTTCCGTGGGAATGTCCCTGCGCTGTCCCCCGAGCCCCGGGGAACCAGGGACGGGCTGTGGTCAGAAGGCCCCTCGGGTGAGGCAGGCCTGGGTGGAGAGATGGCCGGGGGAGCGGAGCAGAGGCACTGGAAGCCCCGGCCCACAGGTCAGTGCGGGGCGGCCGCTGTGGGAGCAAGGAGGCACCCGGGGCCCACGAGGCAGGTGTCCCTTCCGTGTGACGGTGCCAGGGCAGCTGGGGACACTTGGAAGCCGATGGTACCGAATGTCCTGCCGGGCGGGGCTGGAGGTTCAGGTGGGCTCAAGGGTCGGAGGTGAGGAAGCTGTGAGTCTGAGGGGGCAGAGGAGGGACCCACCTAAGACTGTAGGGGAGTGGGGGGAACAAGAAGGAAAGAGGGAGGGGTCCTGGGCCTGGGGACCTGGAGATGTGGAGCATCTGGCCGAGCCGGGAATTCAGGGCAGGGGACAAGGAAGAGGCTTCGTGGGGACCCTCAGGGAGGTAGGGAGGCCCGGGGGCGTGCTGGCATGCTCAGGCCTGGCCCAGGGGCAGGGGCAGAAGAGTGTCCTGCCTAGAGAGAGCCCGCCCTCCTCCCACACGCACCCGCACACACCTGCGCGCGACCCTGCTCTTCCAGAGCCCGCCCTCCTGCACACGCGCCCGCACACACCTGCGCGCGACCCTGCTCTTCCAGAGCCCGCCCTCCTCCCACACGCACCCGCACACACCTGTGCGCGACCCTGCTCTTCCAGAGCCCGCCCTCCTCCACACGCGCCCGCACACACCTGCGCGCGCCCCCGCTCTTCCAGAGCCCGCCCTCCTGCACACGCGCCCGCACACACCTGTGCGCGACCCTGCTCTTCCAGAGCCCGCCCTCCTCCACACGCGCCCGCACACACCTGCGCGCCCCCCCGCTCTTCCAGAGCCCGCCCTCCTCCACACGCACCCGCACACACCTGCGCGCTGCCCCGCTCTTCCAGGACAAGGAGAAGGCCCAGGCGGAGCAGAGGCGCTACTCCCTCCTGGACCCGGCCTCGGCGCCCGAGCTCCTGCGGCTGCAGCAGCAGCTGGCGAGCACGGAGGACGCGCTGCGGGCCGCTCTGGAGCAGGCGCAGCAGGTGGACAGGCTCGTGGAGGCCATGAGGGGCAGCCCCGACAGGTGCCAGGTGAGCGCGGGCGGGTGCCCGGGTCTGAGGGGGAGGCGGCCCTGTCCGCCCTGGGACCCTGGGCTGCGGGGGGACACACCGCCCTGCCCTCTCCTCTGGGCCTCCCAGCCCCGGGGGTGCGTGGCTTTATCCTGAGGAGCTCAGACCTAGGGGAGCGATGCGGCCTTGCCCTGAGCCTTGGTCTCCGGCCGGGAGCCCCTCAGGAGCTCTGGTCGCGCAGGACCTGCCGGGTGACCGCGCCACCTAGGGGCCGAACTGGGAGCTGCCGCCCTGGGAGCCCCGCTCAGAGTCCCGACTCTTGCAGGCCCCGGGCAGTGCCGGCTCTGCGAACGGCGTGCACCAGCCAGACAAGGCCCACAGGCAGGAGGTAAGGGGCCTGGCCCGGGGCGCGAGGTGATCCTGGGGGGCTTTGGGAGACAAGTCCGAAACTGTGTAAAGGGGAACGTGCTCGCTAGGAGTTCTCTTACCAGAGATGCAAGGTTACCTGTTTTAAGTGATATCCTTCCTGAACTGTCCTAGGCACGCACATGGGTTGTTTGCCTGTGTGCATGTGCATGTGTGCGTGTGTGCACATGTGCACGGACAGTCAGTCCTCGTTATTCACAAATGCCCTATTTGCAAACTTGCCTGCTCCATAAAATGTCATTACAACCCCAAAATCCATACTCAGGGCGCCTCTGTGGTCCCTCGCAGACACACGGGAGCGAGGGGCATGCGAGTCGCCCGCCCCCCGCCCCTGCTGAGGACAACCAGGCGGTGCTCAGCCTTCTTGTTTCGGCTCACGCTGAGAACAAGGTCCTTTGCATGGTCTGCTTAGTGCCACGTTTGTCCCATTTTTGTGCTTTTTCTTGGTGATTCCCGCTGTTTGAAATGACCCCCCAGCCGAGTGCTGAGGCCGTCAGCCTTCCTGGGGGCAAGAGGGCTGCGCGGTACCCTGCAGAGAAAGTCCGTCCAGAAGCTTCCTGCTGGCACCGTGAGGCTGCTGTTGGCTTTGAGCTCACGGTTAATGTCATCCATTAAATAGGGTGTCTTTAAAGGGAGTGCACAGAAGACAGGACTGTGTGTTGTTAATGCAAGTGTCGTGATTGAGGCTCACAGGAGCCTCGCCCATGTTTGCACCAGAAGCAGTGGCTCAGCATTCCCTAAGCCAGCGTTGGCGGGGACCTCATAGAATGTACCCACTGCGAATAGTGGGAACCGTTGTGTGTGTGTGTGTGTGTGTGTGTGTGTGTGTGGATAGGCACTAGGTTTTTATTTGGAAATAATTTCAAACTTAGAAAAAAGTTGCAAGAATAAAAATAGTGCCTAGAACATCATGTACCCTTTCCCCCATAAGTATTGTTAACCTTTTCCCCCATTTGTCTGTGTTTTGTTTTCTAAATGTAGACATGTGTAAGATGTATAGTATTTTCCGAACCGTTTGAATATAATTGCATGAATCCTGGCCCTAAATACTTGAGTCCGCATTTTCTGAGAAAGGGGCGTCACTTTGCCCACAGGACAGTGCCCAGTCCCCACAAGTGTCGCGCTGACGCGGGTTCGCATGTCACCCCGCCCCCCTGCTCCTCCGCCTCGCTTCTCCGGCTCTTTCTCCCTGGCCAGGAGGCAGCCGAGGGTTGCGGCACTCACTGCCTCTAGTTGGCAGGTGTCTTCGGTCCCCTCTAATCTGGAACATCTCCGCGATTTCTTTGATTCTTAGGAAATTCACAGTTTTGAAAGATAGCTCCGCTCCTTTTTTTTAACTGAAAAGTCCTCGTTTGGGATTGTCTGATGGCCGCTGGTGATCAGAGCAGGGTTAGTCGCGTCCTCCTCCGGGCATCCCAGCTGGGGCCTGACGTCCGTCTGCCCTTCGGTCCTGACGGGATTCCGCCCATCTGGTCAGGTGTCTCCTCTGTAGAGTGCCTGGGCTTTCCCAGCGAGCAGCCTGTGGAGGGACTGGCCGCCCTCTGAGCACCTTGAGCACCTGCTCTTCCTGAACCCCCACCCCGGCTGGGCATCTGTCGCTGGCCCGCCCAGGCTGGTCCTCCCTGAGCGGCTGCAATGGCTTGGCTGTCATTTTCTAGAGCAAGTTGCTTACTCTGTGTTTGATTTCACCTCCGGTTTTCTTCACCAAACGCTTTAAACATACGCATTTTGTCTCTGAAGCAGTCTCTGTGAGTTGTATGTTTTGTAGAATTGTGGGTATAAAATTGGCTTTCCAGAACTTCATGGGCCTGAGGGGCGCCCGTGACTCCCAAGCTTGACCTGTCTTTGCTTGACCGTGTGATGTTTTAAGGGGGTGTCTGGTGGCCCCGCCCCACAGTAACCCCTCGTATTCACCCACAGTCTTAGAGGCACCCACTTGGGTCCCGGGTGCCGGCCCGGTTAGGTGCAGGAACCCAGGGCCAGCTCTGTCCCTGGCTCGCTGTGTGACCTTGGGCAACTGAGGCCAGAGCAAGGGAAGGAAGGATGGTGGAGCCCCTGCTCACCCAGACATAGGAGAACCTTGGCTGCAGACTCTGCCAAGGGCCAAGCCTGTGGGTGAGGGGCAGAGAGATGGGGCTGGGGAGTGGAGGGGACCCTGCACCAGGCCTTCGAGCAGGGTGGAGGCCTGGAGCTGGAGGGGACGTGGTAGGGCTGTGTCTGCAGAGCAGCCGCTGTGCCAGGCCCCCTGGGAGCTGATGTCCATATCTGGTGCAGCTTTGTCCTCCCAGCAACCTGCAGAGCATGCAGTCCCAGTGTACAGATGTGAAAACTGAGGCTCGGAGTCTCAGTTCCAGTTTCCATTTCTTCAGATCCAGCCTCCACACAGGCACCCAGTGCTCTCTGTAAACCCATTTGCTCTCATGTCTTCCCCTCAGCTTCCTCTAAACAGCTCCCACCCTACCTCCTGTGTCACCATGCCCCAGACACACATCAGAGACCTCTGCCCCAGGGCCTTTGCACATGTGGTTCCCTCTCCCAGCACAAGTGGGCTCTCTTCCCCCAGCGCACCCCCACCCTCCTTCCTACCTGCCCCCTCCCCCCGGCCGCCTTCACTCAAGGCTCCTGGGGACATTTGCTGATCAAGGCTTTGCTTTCTCCAGGACAAGCACTGACCCTGAGGGACACCGTGGAGCAGCCCAGTCCACACCAGAGCCCCTCTGGCCTGCCCCGGCGGCGCCCCATCCAGGCAGGGGCCAGGACTGTCACTTTGGAGACAAGAACAGTGTTTGTAACGATAACGTCCCCCACCGCCGCGGACAATCCCTGCCCCTCAACCCCCCTGCCGGACCAGGAGGCTTCCTTAAGCGCGACCTTCCACAGAGAGCGGTACAGGCCAACCTGGCCCCGGGACCTCCAGCCTGGACGCCCTGGCAGTTTCTGGACTTTGTTTGGGGGAGCTGAGGCGATCTAGCCAGGCCCCCTCCCCAGAAGGAGCTCCCTGAGGACCATCTTGGCCCTGGGCACATCCTTGCTCTCCCTCCTTCCTCTCCTCATCCCAGGTCCCCCTCAGACCCTGGGGAGCTGTTGTCCTGCAACAGGGTCAGAGGAGGCCCAGCTTCTCTTTGCAGGCACTGAGGAGGGGAGTCCAGTCCTGAGGAGCTGGGGGACCCCTTTTCCTGCAGCCACCTCCAGGCCAAGGCAGTCCCCAGGGCGTCTCGTCCCCACACACCGGACCTCCTTCAGACGTGGTACAAGTTCCCCTCGGTGAGGCCCAGCTTCAGGGTGCGGGGGTCATGGTCCTCCCCGCCAGCACACACTGACTCAGCCCGAGCTGCTGGTGGGCGGTCACTGAGGCCGGTGCCGCGGTGTTAGGGAACCCGGAAGCCCTGGCCCCCGCCGACCTGCTGGAGCCACAGCCAGGCCTGGGACGGCTTTGACTGGTCAGGAATGTGGTGTCCCCTGTGTTGACCAGATGTTCCGTGGCTCAGCCTCCCACCTGCAGGTGTGCCAGGGGCTCTGATGTGTTCACCCGCTGACCTTGGCGCACGCACACTCGGGGTACGTGTGCACATGTGGCTGTGTGGGCGGGGCATCTTCACTCAGCCATGCTCGGGCCACACACACTTGGGTTCCAGGACAGAGCCTCAGGCCTGGCGGGGCCATGCCCACACACCCCGCAGATGTTCTTGCAACCAGCTGTGAACATACACACCCAGGTACATGGGGGTGAGCGTTCAGGGATGTGTGTGCCACGCACACGCGCCAGAACACACGAGTACCCACAGCCCCTTTCTAATCTCATCATGTCCCACCTCTAGAGCCGGGGCCCGCAGGCCCTGCCTTGTGCTGTAGTATCGCCCCAGGGGGCCTGCCCCTCCTCTCCAGCTCAGGGAGGGTCTTCACCCTCCCCCCGGGGCCAGAGGGGCGTCCGATGCCCCCCATGGTGTGCCGCAGTGTGCCAGGACCGAAGTGTGCCTGGGCGGGCATATGGCTCGTGCCCTGGGAGCAGCCCAGGGAGCCTCTGACGTGCCAGGTACAGGCGGGCAGGGGTCACGTCCTTGCCCAAGTACAGCCCATCCTGGGGGCAGCCAGTTAGTCCCACCAGCCCCCTCCTCCCGCCCCCCATTGGCTTTCGGCAGCTCTCGCATGCGGTTTTATTAACAACAGTCTAGAAGCGATGCTTTAGTGGCCTAACCCAGAGTCAGATACTACTCTTTCCAGCAAAATCAGGCAGCTCGCCCCGCCCACAGGAGGCGCTGACTAGTCTACTAACAGCCACAGGCCCACAGGGAGAGGCTGAGTCTGGCGCCACTGGCAGGTGGCAGGTGGCAGAGAAGTGAGTTCCCTGTGAGCATCTCCGCCTGTGCAGTCTGGGCTCAGCCATACCCTGCCCCAGGTCCTCCCCGCACCCTTCCCCTCCCCAAAGTGGAATTGTTGAAGTGTGGCGAGTCCGTGCTCGAGACAATAAAGCTTGTGACTGAGGTCCAGGACCCCTGCAGTCGTCTGCTTCCCTCTTTGAGCGACCTGGGCTCCCCTGGCCTCTCCCAGCTCATGATGCCTGGTGCCAGGAGTTTGTCTCGATCCTGTTCCTTGTGGGCTGCCAGCTAATTCTTACTCAGGTGTGAATGGCTGATGGGAGCTTAAGAGGACCTGACGTTGAAGAAGTCCAAGGCTGAGCTGCCTTCTCTGAGGAGAGGGAGCTGAGCAGGAAGAGGCAGAGAACCAGAGGGAGGGAGGCGGGCAGGCCGGGCAAGGCTGCCCCCCGAGAGGCACAGGGGGTGCGCTTGAATCTGTTAGAGGTATAACTGGGCCTGCGAGGAAAAAACAAAAACTCTTCCCGAGTTGCAAAATAGTGATGGATCAGCTGACACGAATATGATGAGTTCGGTGAGAACATTACAGCTTTGGTGAACCGATGCTGTCCCCTGCAGCAAGCTTTCTGTGGAGCAAATGAGCCGTCACTGTTGTGCAAGCTTTGTGGTCATTTTACCGGCCTTGCAGTTGAGGGTCCCCCACAGAGACTGAACCAGGCTCCTGAGGTGAACAGCCAAGTGTGTCTGGAAGCTTCCCGCCCTTTCTCAGCCTCTGTATCAGCCGAGCCCTGGGGGAAGCAGGGGCCCGTCCTGGGGTGAACAGAGTGGAGGGAGGGGCCACGTGCGCAGGTGTAGACAGGGCTAAGGGCACCCACAAGGGACTCTGGGGAGCCACTGCACCCCAAAGGGACGAAGCAAAGGAAGCCAGCATAAGCTGCATCTGTGCAGAGGACCCAGCAGCAGCAAGCCCAGGAGGGAGGGAGCTGGAGAAGCGCATTCTGCAGCCCCCTCTCCTCCTCCGCCACCTCCTGCCGACCCTCTCGTTGGCTGAACTCCACCTGGCACCGAGGCCAGGGAGCTGTGGGAGGGCTCGGAGGCCTGCTCCGGGCACAGCCAGGATGTGGGTGCAGAGTGGGTCTGGGGGTGGGGATGATGGAGAGCAGTCAACCCAGCATCGTTCCCGAGACCCATCTGGGTCGGTTTCCTTAGGCTTCAGCCGCCTCCAGTATGGACAGGGTCTGTCTTTCCAGATCTCATCCTGCCTGCCCAGCATTTTGCATCCAGAGTGCTTCTGCCCACAGGACTGTCTCCTCTCGAGACTTAGCCCACACCACTGCGACCCATGGTTTCTTTCCATCTGACCCGAGGCACGGGCGTGGCCCCGTCACTCTCTGATGGGGCGGTGACCGAGGGTGCTCAGTGCGTCCCCCTCCCTGGGGGAAAGTGTTTCCTGGCCAGCCGCCCTTCAGTGGGGACTCCACGCCGGGGCACGTGGGCAGAGGAGAGCCAGCCCCAATCTGCTCGTGGCTCCCAGGCCGGCGGTTGGCCTGACCCTGTGTCAGCTGCTGTGAAGGTGAGGCACTGGTTGGGTAGGAAGGACGCGAGGAGCAGGCAGGGGCAGTCATGGAGACTGGGGGCCTGGGCCAAGGCTGGGGCGCAGGGCTTGCTTACTGTCACCAGGGCTGAGGGTGCGGGCGACTCGAGGCCAGACGGCGGCGGCAGGCTTGAATCTCACAGGAGCAGCCTGAGCCCTGTCTGCCCAGGGCTTGGCTTCCAGAGGCGCAGGATGGGAGGATGGCGCCGGAAAGAGGATGGGGCTCCGCAGGGGGCTCGAGGTGGCGAGGTGGCGGTGACAGAGTCCCGCAGGGACCCTGCCCTCAGGGCTCACAGGAAGCCCAGGGATGCGGTGCGGGCTTCACAGAGGTCTGTGCAAGCCAAAGGCCTGGGGCAGCCTTGACCCTGTGGAGCAGCAGCCCTGGGTGGGGGGGTCTCTGACAGCACCACCCTGGAGAGAGCTCAGGCGCTGGACATCCTGGGTCCAGCCCAGCCCGTCACCCTCTGGCTGTGTGGGCCAGACCCATGGCTCCACTTCCCTGAGCCTCAGTTTCCTCCTCTGAAACGGAGAAAATAAAGCCGACCTCATGCCCCGTGGGGTCTAAATGAGACCCTGCAGACACCCACCCAGTTGTTTCTGCCGCTGTCCCAGCCTAGCAGGACGTTGCCCTCCTCCGTCTGCAGGAGAGCACCAGCAGGTCCCTGGGGCCCCACCGCGGCTTGCTCAGCCCCTCGACAGTCCAGCTTAGGGGTCAGCAGATCGCCTGCACAGGCCGGAGGAGCCCCGCGAGCTCAGCTCAGCCCCCGGGCCCTGCCTCAGGCACCCCCACATGGATGCTCCACGAGCCAGCAGCAAGCAAGTCGCCCCCAGGGCTGGGTCTGGGGCACAGTGGGAGGGGCTGGGAGCCAGCCGCTCCGGACAGAGCGTGTCCCCACACCATCCCTGCACTGACTTTTCTCTTTTAACCGTTTAATTTTGAGATAATTTCAGACTTACAGAAGAATGGCAAAAATAGAGTTCCCGTAAATCCTTCACCAGCCTCCCCTGGTGTTACCTTCTTGCACAACCACAGTACAATGAACCAAACTAGAAAACGGACACTGGTGGGAGGCTGTTGATCGAAGTACAGACTTTTCTCAGATTTCACCAGTCTTCCCTCTGACGTCCCTTTTCTGTTCCAGGATCCCATGAGGATCCCACATGACATTGCTTCGTGGAATCTCTTTAATCTCCTCCCGTCTGTGACGGTTTCTCAGCCTGCCTGCTCTGCCATAACCGTGACACATTTGAGGAGCACTGAATGGTTCTTTTGTCCAGGTCCTCAGTCTGGGTCTGTCTGGTGTCTCCTCGTGATGAGGGGGAGCACAGAGGGGATGTGCCTCTCAGCGCACCTGTCGGCGGCCCCCGATTTCCACGTGTCTATTACCAGCGATGTAACCTTGCTCACTTGACTAAGGCGATATGAGCCAGGATTCTCCACCATCAAGTTGCTCCCTTTCCCTTTGTGACTCGTAACTATTTTGATGGAGGTACTTTGAGATTGTGCTGATGTCCAGTTTCTCCTTAAACTTTCACCACTGATGTTTGTATCTGTCGGTGCAGCCTGCCTGCTGTAATTATCACTGTGATTGTATTGCCGGGGTGATGTTCCCCTGCTCTCTTCCCGTCTCCATTTATTAACTGGAAATGTTCTGTGAGGACGAGTTGTCTCTTCTCCCCAATTTATTTGTTTATCGGTGGTTTATTTCTATTACTATGGACTCATGGATATTTATCCTATACTTTGGCTTATTATCCAATACCATCGCTGTTTGCTTTGTTCAAGTTCTTCTGCCTTGGCCATTGAGAGCGCTTTCCTTTGGCTCCCTCATCTCTGACACGCCCCATCCTTTTGTTCTTTAAGCACTAACTTGCTTTCTACAGTATGTTCCAAACTCATCGTGTATTTTTCCTCCTGCAGCCACGGAAATATGAACCTAAAGCAGGGGCAACCCTAGGGAAGAAAATAGATGAATTGGACTTCATCACAATTGAACACTTTTTTGCATCAAAGGAGACCCACCAAATGTGAGAAAATGTTTGCAAATCAGATATCTGATAAGGATCTCGTATCCAGAATGTATAAGGAATTCTTTCAACTCAATAAAAAGACAAATAACCTAATTAAAAAATAGGCAAAAGTGGGGCTGGCCCCGTGGCCGAGTGGTTAAGTTCGCGCACTCCGCTGCAGGCGGCCCAGTGTTTCGTTAGTTCGAATCCTGGGCGCGGACATGGCACTGCTCATCAGACCACACTGAGGCAGCGTCCCACATGCCACAACTAGAAGAACCCACAACGAAGAATACACAACTATGTACCGGGGGGCTTTGGGGAGAAAAAGGAAAAAAATAAAATCTTTAAAAAAAAAAAAAATAGGCAAAAGATCTGAATAAACATTTCTCCCAAGATATTCAAATGGCCAATAAGCCTATGAGAAGATGCTCAGTGTCATTAGTCATTAGGGAAACACAGATCAAAACCTCAAGGAGATGCCCCTGCAGACCCACTGGCATGGCTAAAATAAAAAGACAGACGCTAACAAGTGTTGGTGAGGATGTGGAGAAATTGGAATTTTCATACATTGCTGGTGGGAATGTGAAATGGTCGGCCACTTTGGAAAATAGTTGAATAGTTCCCTAAAATGTTTAAACATAGAGTTACCATATGACCCAACAATTTTACTCCTAGGTATATACTTTAGATAAAGTAAAACAAGTCCACATGAAAACTTGTACAAAATGTTCATCGCAGTGTTATTCACAATAGCCAAAGAGTGGAAATAACGTAAGCATCCATCATCTGATGAATGGGTCAGTAACATGTGGTTTATCCATACAATGAAATGTTGTTTGACCATAGAAAGGAATGAAGTACTGATCCGTGCTGCAGCCTGATGACCCTCCAAAGTGTCACGCTCAGTGAAAGAAGTCAGATGCCAAAGGCCGTAGAACATGTGATTCCATTTATATGAAATATCCAGAATAGGCAAGTCCATGGCGACAGAAAGCAGATTGCTGGTTGCCAAGGCCTGAGGGAAGGGGAAGTGGGGAGAAACAGTGTAATGGACACAGGGCTTTACCTTGCAATGATGGGAATGTTCTGGAACCAGATAGAGGTGATGGTTGCACAACACTAGGAATGTGCTGAATGCCACTGGGTGCCTCTCTAAAATGGTTAGTTTTGTGTTATGTAATTTTCTCCTCAGTAAGTTATTTTCAAAAAAGAAAAGAAATTTTACATTACCCGTACGATGGTAGGAGGAGTGTGATTTGGATATTAGCACCAAACTGTGTTAGGAATCTTCGTTAAATAAGGATGTGTGAATATTTTTATTTGTTCAGATAATTTTGGGGGAAAAATCAACTGGTGCAATCTATCATGTTAACAGAAAAAAGGAAGAAAAAATACCCGGAATTATTTCAGCAACTGCCCTAGATTTGGGGTGACGGGATAGCAGGGCTGGGGGTGAATTAATATATATATTTTTTTTTTTTTTTTTTGGAAGACTGGCCCTGAGCTAACATCCGTGCCCATCTTCCTCTACTTTATATGTGGGACGCCTACCACAGCATGGAGTGCCAAG